TATGGGTCGTATGTGATGTATGGATCGGGGGCCATTTAATTTAGATGAAAGGTTGTATCTCGGTTGCTGTTGAATGTGCCAGCAAGAAATCGTTGATTGCTGGCACTGTCATATGTCCAGCTGGAATCTTTGGTGTTTTAGACGGGCAATATTATGAAGAGTTACAGGACCTGATACTAAACCAAAGTTACTATGTGGTAAACTTTGAGGATCTGCGACGGATGCCGCCTAAGATCAAGAGGCTAGATTCTGTATGGTCTGTGCCTGCGTATTCCTTAAGAAGGAATGACCTGCGGGTTCATTGCAGGAATTCCAAACTGACTCGCGCGGAATTTGATGAATGTATGCAGAATAGTATACCGACCCTCGAGAAACAAACCGACCTCAGTATACCGACCCTCGAGAAACAAACCGACCTCAGTAGAACTGACATTGGTTGGAAGAAGAGCACTGGTTTGAAGACAACCGGTAATAAGACTAACGGTGAAAGAAGCCTCAACGATAAAAAGGCCGTTGAAGGAAATAGTAATCGGCCCAGAACAACTTAGTGCCATGTCGCTCAGCCGTTTTCGATGGTACTATAGAGGGTGTGAACTGTTCTGTGCAAAGGGAAGGAAGCTGAGATATGCAAGTGGGACTGACGAAGTGTACGAAACAGATTTACTTACCGAAGGGTTGTACGTTGTCTTGAAGGAAAAAAAACTTACGCCAAGTGTTTCAACAGCCTAACGGAACTCTCTTTGGATGCGATCTCAAAAACATGTGTCTCAAACTCGGTCTTTTGTACGGCAAGGATGTAAACGGAGAGAAGGCGGATAGATCGGTAGCTGAACACGCTACTATTTGCTGTCGGCATCACGGACGCATCACGGACGCATCACGGACGACGCACGCACCGTGATCGTCCAGGCATCGTCTTTTCAACCGTTTGGCAACGTCTCTAGATTCTTTTGTCAGCTTTATGCTCAGAAAACTTCTCTTGTCATGAAAATCAGGCGTTTATCGGTTGCCATCTATCTCGGTAGTAAAGACATGGTTGCCATCTGTTCGGTAAGGAGAAGACGGTGACTACAGGTACGAAGCATGTTTACTTCCTGAAGGGTTGTCCTAAAGCCGATGTGTGCCGGACCAAGAAGCGATAAGAACTCAGGGAGTTCACGGATCAGTAAGTGCTGAATGTAGCACCCCAACAAGGTTCAGGACGGAGTCGAATCCTTTTGTGAAATTTGCCGGGTGGGAGGATTCGACGAAGAGAGACGGACCGGTGATAATTAAATAATATGCGGCCTCGGGATACAAAGGAGCGCCGCCTGAGGAACAGAGATGAAGAAGATGAATTGAATGACAGGTTAGCAATAGAGTTGCCTGGGTCGGGTGAAAAGTGGGTACCGCCTGTGTGTTATTGCGAGACCCCAAAGGGAGCGGTGAAAGCCACCTTGCCGGAGAATGGAAGCATTGAGACAGTCTACTCATTTTTCGAGCTACCAATATCAATGAGAACTCTAGAAGGATTGTCGAGATACAACACTATGACCAAGATCCAGTTTTTGACGATACCTCACATCCTTGCTGGACGAGATGTGATTGGAGAGGCTGCAACAGGAGGTGGGAAAACATTGTGCTTTGTTATTCCTATTTTGGAAGGTATGGTCCGTGAGACTTGGGATAAGGCAGACGGTTTATATGCTATGATTATCACCCCTACTAGGGAGCTAGCGATGCAAATATTTGACGTGATTGCTACTTTTAAAAGGCATGATGGGGTATCGGCAATGTGCGTGTTTGGAGGCAAACATATCAGTAAAGAACAGAATCGTATCGGCTCTGTCGGAATCCTGATAGGAACTCCAGGACGAATATTATGCCATTTGGACGAAAGCCATTTGCTTCGGGTTCAGAATGTCAAATTTTTGGTCTTGGATGAGGCGGACAAGCTTATAGAAATGGGGTTCTCGGAAACGACTCAGAAGATTCTGGAAGCCCTGCCAAGCAAAACGGAGCGCCAGAATCTGTTCTTCTCGGCTACTATGCGCGGTGCAGTTAGGGTTCTAGGTCAGAAGTTTTGTAGAGAAGGAGAAACAGAAATGATAACTGAGAATTTCGAAGGCAAACTTGGCACGAGCACTTTAAAGGCCAAGAATCTGTCCCATTGTTATGTTAAGGTGCCCTTCCAGGAAAAGGTCAATGTACTGGCATCCTTGCTTACCCGAGAATTCAAACAGAAAATTTTGGTCTTCTGCAGCACCATCAAGCAGGTACGCTTCCTGTATGAGACCCTGCGGGCGATCAAGACGGGTGCACGTATTATCGAACTACACGGAGGACAAGACCAAGGCAAACGACTGGCAATGTACGAGGAATTTTCGCAAAGACAAGCTGCAATGACACTCATCACTACAGACTTACTCGGAAGAGGTCTGGACTTTGCTGGAGTGAATTACGTCATCCAGTTCGATTGCCCGCCGGACTTAGAGACGTACACTCACAGAGCGGGCCGAACTGCCAGAGGCCTTAGCAACTCCGGTAAGTCTATCCTCTTCGTGGCCCCTTCGGAGGTAGAGGTTATTCGCCGGATTACCTTAAGCGGTATACAACTTGAAGAAATACTCGTGAACAAACAATTCGCCAAAGATATCAAACCACTACTCAGGACCCACTGCGCCAGAGATGACGCCATCAAGCACCTCGCCATCAAGGCTTTCCAGTCCTATATCAAGGCCTACTCAATCATGAAGAACAAAAGAATCTTCAACCTCAAGGCCCTACTCAGCGCCAGGTCCGCACTCGCCGCAAGCCTCGGACTCATCTCCACTCCACCCCTTCCCAACGGTGTAGAACTCCAGGACAGCGACTCCGACGAAACCACCGACCATGACTCCGACACAGACCGACTCTCCGGTGGCGTCCAACCCCAGGCGCCCAAAACCAAAAACAAGACGAAGCTCGAAAGACTCAAGGAGAAAGTTGCCGCGAAGAAGCAAAAAGCAAAAGACGAGACCACCGGCGAAGACCATCTCTCCTCAGACGAGGAGGGAAAACGGCCGAAACTCACTAGACGCGAGAAAAGGCGACATAAACTGCAAGAGCTCAGGGAAATGGGCACTGAAGAGCTCATGAAAGACGTCGGGGAGAAACTGATCGTCGCAGAACCACTCGTCCTGCCAGCTGAGCCCCAAGGGGACTGGCGGGACTCCGCCCGCGTCCAACAGGCGTTAAAGAAGAAGCGCCTCGTCATTCGAGCCGACGGCACGGCTAAACTAAAGGGTGCTGGCCCAATCCAAACCGAGCACAAATACTTCCCCAGCGACGACGACGAAAAGCCAGTCGACATGAATACCTTCGAAGGCGTCGTCTCGATGATGCAAGCCGATCAAGACACCGAAACCCGCGAGGAACGTCTGAAGCGGCTGCGATACAAGCTGGAGACCGACAAGAAACAGAAGCTGGAGGAAAAGCACAAGCGCAGACGCACCGCCAAAGAAAACGCAGCCCAAGACGACTTGGTCGCCGAAGACGAACTCGAAGCGCAGTTGGCTGCGGAATTCGGCATATAAATCACAGCGCGGTTCGGCACCCGGCACTCTCTCGACTGTTCACCTTGGCACCTGCCTCCACGCGGATGCTGCCGATTTCACCCTCACTTCCCACACTCTCCACGTCCTCCGTGTCCGCGGTGTTTTTCGCCACGTCTTCCTCAATAACGTCTAAACTCGGAGTCCACAAATCTTCGCTCTGCGTGTCCAGCCCCTTCGGCGGCGGCGGCTCGCAAAAGTCAATGGCAGCGGACAAGTCCCGCTCCCAAGGCGGTACCTGTGTGTGCAACGCCTGCGTCTGGATCGCCTCCAGCTGTACCTCCTTCCGACGGGACACAAGGGCCTCACCCACCAGCAGCGTGAACGCGGGGTGGCCCCCGCCCGGCCAGTGGTTCAGCATCAGAGACGACAGAAGTTCGGCAGGCGAGAAGCTCAGCGGATCCTGGCTCGTGGAGAGGACCGCTTTGACGCGCACAGTTGAGCCGATCGAGAGCGACTGCAGACACCGAAACTCTTGGCCAAAGCACGTCTTCATTAAGTCCACGAAGTCGATGTAATAAAGCTGCCACCCCGGCAGCGTCTCCAGGAAAATGCTGTGTGTGAACTGAGAGTTGCGAATGCGGGGAGAACTGGTTGAGAAACGGGCGCGGCGGACCACCGACTGGGTGTCTTTCACGCCGCACTCGAAGGTGAAGTCCCGTCCCACGTGCTTCATCAGCAGCAAGAGATACGTGGTTTGGATCTCCAAACTGGGTTTTGGAGAAACTTTCTTGGCCATCGGCAAATCGACATGGACGTTAGACCCGGCAATCTCGTAGCAGAAGCCGCGCAAGTCCTCGTCGTACACCTTCTCGACGTGGGGCATAGAGAGGTCCGTCCGCAGTTTCAAGTCGTCGTCGGCGACTGTGCTTTCCGTCTCCGAGGACATGCTGCCGCGAGAAACCCCGACAATGTCCCAATCCGCCCGGAAGGTCTTCATATTGAACAGCAGCCGGCCTGCGTCCTTGGTCTTGCGAGCGGCACCCTCGGCACTAGACGACACGGTAGACGACGACCCACGGAAGGCGCAAGTCATTGGTGGGAAAACCCACACACTCACTCCCGGCGCACTCGAGCCCTTTTTCGATAGGCGAGAGCCTGGTACGGTGGGAACCAGTGCGGCAGGCCGAGCACGGCCGCCTGGTGCCGCGTCCAGTAGGGGTCCTTTAGGTGCTCTCTGCCCACCGCGACCAAATCAGCGTCCTCATTTACCAAAACGTCGTTGGCTTCCTCCGCGTTCGCAATCCCACCCACCGCAATCGTCTTGACGGACGCTGCAGCCCGCAGTTGCGCACTCAACACCAACTGATAGTCCCAGGAGTGCACGATCACCTGACCCGGCGAAACACCGCCGCTGCTCACGTGGATAAGATCCACTCCGGCCGCGCACAAACTACGAGCGAGGTACACCGAGTCTTCCATCTGCCAACCCCCTTCGACCCAGTCCACGCACGATATGCGCACACTCAAAGGCATGCTCTCTGGGATCGCGCGCCGCACAGCCTGCACGACCTCTATACTCAACCGACAGCGGTTCTCCAACGAACCACCGTACTCGTCCGTCCTGCAGTTGACCAGCGGGCTCGTGAACTGGTTGAGCAGGTAGCCGTGTGCGTTGTGGATCTCAACCCAGTCGAAACCCGCAACAACCGCTCGCCTCGCGGCTGCCGCGAACGTCTCCGTTATCTGGACAATATCCGCCTTAGTCATGGCCACCGGCGTCCGCCAACCCACGTCATAAGCAACCGCACTGCTGCTGATCGCGCTGCTGGGCGCGGCCGTCTCGACTGAGACGTCCCTCACCAGCGCCTTGCGTCCGGCGTGAGCCAGCTGTATTCCGATCTTTGCACTCTGTTGGTGGTGCACAAATGAAGTCAGCCGGGTCAAGGCATGCGCCTGCTCGTCGTTCCACAGCCCCGCGTCGCCCGCAGCAATGCAGCCGCGTTTTTCCACCGCAGTGCCCTCGAACATTAACAAACCCGCGCCTCCCAAACTCAGGGATCCGTAATGCACCAAGTGCGCGTCGTTTATCATGTTCGTCTCCGGGTCCGCAAACCAGGTGCACATCGGCGCCACGACTACCTTGTTTACGAGCTCGAGCCCCCGGATTCGGTACGGCGTGAAGAGCTTCGGCACTGGAATGAAGCTCATGAATTTCCGGCCCCTTTGGGACACGTCGAGGATAATACTTCGAGGACGCCATACCGCTCCAAGCGTATCCCTCGAGTACCAGAGTTGGCACGCTAGTCGATCTTCTGTTTGAGCTGCACCTTCCGGTACCAGAGGTACATGGCGGCAGGAGTCAGTGAGCCGCAGACCATCGTGAAAATAATGCACCAGTACTCCGGGGACCCTGTGCGGCTAATTACCCTCAGTAACGACAGGAACAATCCGGACGTCACGCCAGCCACTCCAATCAGCGTCCCGCGCAGATGTGGCGCCAAAAATTCCTGCGCAAACGTGTACTTGATTCCGTACGTGTAGGACATGGTGGCGATCCACAGGAACACAGTCCCGTACTGCCCGGCATGCTCTCCCGATAAGGACGCCAAGAAAATGAGTCCGTAGCAAACGAGTTGCAGAAGAATCATGATCGGAGTTCCCACGCTATCGCAGAGCTTTCCTTGGGCCAAACCCAGGAATGCGTCGGTCCACATCCACCAACCCATGTCCCTTGCGATAGTGGGGCCCACTAAACTGGCCATGTCCGATTGGTACCATACGCCCATGAGCATCAATATTCCGGTCAAAACCACGACACATACGTATTCCGGAGTAGCCATGGCTTCCAGGAGTTCCTCCACCTGCTTTACCAACGGGCGCTTTTCTGTCTTTTCTTTTGGTTCCTCTTCATCTCGAGACTTCGGTAACGCCAGGACATATACAACGCATAGTGGGATCGCGGCGAACATCATGAGCGATCGCCAATAAGACTCGAAAGTTAGGTCAGGCAGGCCTCTCCATATCTTCATTAAAAGGGGAGGAACAAGGGAACATAATCCTTGCAGGCAGACAGCTAAAGGAATGAAATATAGCGCATCAATATACTCACTATACGTAACCGCCAGAGCAGCGTTATCAGGAAACATACACTCCAGAACCATCGCCGGGTACGCCACCAAATTCACGGATAAGCCCCCAATAATCGCAGCAACAGTCATGCCATCAAAAAGAGGGCTGTCGTGGATCTGCAGTTCAAATTGCAGCACACACAGGATCTGATAAAATAACACATGCCGTCAATTCAATCCTACCGAGCCAATTAATCCACAAAGACGCGGGCCGAGGCGGTCGAAAAGCACCCCCGCTATTATCGATCCGATACCTTCCGTCATCATATACGTACCGAAGAGCTCGTTGACCGCTTGGAACTGCGCGTCACACTGGACAAACTCGACCCTACTGACGCTGCTTTGTTCCGGTGAGCAAAGATGCGAATATCGGCCTCCTCGAAGCAGCAGGGACCTGAAAACTTCCCATGCGCCAAAGAGCCGACTAATAGTACCGAGAACCGCGCCATAAATGACAACCGCGCCAATTTTCTGAGCGGAGGGAAGATCCTTGAGTGCCATTTATGCCCGCACACGTGTGCGCGCGAACATATTTCGAGTTACATTCCGCATTCGATACATGCCAGTATCGTCTACAAGTCCTTTGAAGCTCTCAGGCGCTCAGCATCTGAGTTTGGTTGATTTGGCTTTGAGCGGGGGGAAGAAGAGCGAGCTGGTTAGGATCTGTAACATTGTCGGCCCTTTTTTGGAATGCGAATACATGGTAGAACGAAACAACTTCCATCTGTTTGTCTGCGTTTTTGCTTTTGTGTCTCATCTGAAATAGCGATAGTTCGGTCAGGAAGAGGGGCTTACTTGGTCAAATTGGTGTTGGAATCGGACGGCATCGGGGTGTCCTTTATTTTGCATAAGCTTGCAGTATTCATCAAAGGGCCTTCTGAGAAGGCAAACGAGGTTGCACCTTCTCGCAACCCTGCAGAAGGCCCGCCAAGGAACGACGAATTCAGTGGCATCAATATGGTCTAGCAGCCAGAAATGGTATGGAACGCCCCACTTCTCATTGACCATATAGTAAGTGGGATCTGATTCAATGAGGGTATGTCCCTTTCGGTCTTCTTCGAGCCCCATTCCCATTGATATTTGGGTCCTCATATGTTCAGTTTGCTGATGTTCAGTAACCCAGGGTGGTGCACCTCCATCGCCGGGTAACACTACGTTGGCAATTTTTTCATTCGGTTGCTGTTGATATTCGGCCATGGCCTCGAGTGCGAAGGTAACGCTGTAGACCTCGTTTCCAAAGGAGCATCCGTTTTCGTCCCTTTCAAACGTGTCTTTCCTCATCCGTTCCGCTACAGCGAATGAGGATGGACAGGATCCAATGAAAATGCCTCCTGGCTTGAGTTTATTGCTAATGCTTTGGAGGATGGCCTCCGCATTTGCCTCGGAGGACAACGTATAATGAATAGCCAACTGAACACTAACCACATCAAATGCAGCAGTCTCCGGCGACGCCAAAAACTTCTCATAGCTGTCCGGAACCAACATGTTACCCACATGGAACCTAAAAGGCTGCCCTCGGAAGTCATGCCGCTGTAGACGCCTTCTGGCTTCTTGAATTTCTTGAGCAGAGAAATCTATTCCGATGTAAATTTTGGGCTGCTTATCAAGAACCTTAAACAGATCTTGACCATGACCACAGGCAAGGTCAAGAATTGACGCTCCCATGGCAACGTACTCATCTATTAACAACCGCTTCGCGTGGTTATTTGTTATACGTACTATCTCAATAGCAGATTCCATAGCCGCTCCAATCTTCTTCAGGTTATAGTGCCTCTTGACATCGGCTGCACTGTCTCCGAAAATGTTCGGATAGTAGAGACTCTGTGAGTCCAGTGGGTAAATCTCCTTCGTGTCCAAGGCGCTAACCAAGGCAGCATTGTTATAAAACAGCTCCGCCATTCCTCTCGTAAATTCTCGGGGAAACGGCTGTCGAATCGTGCATAAAACCCGGCCGCTGTGTCCTGACAGCCGCAGGTACGCTCGCCCGACCGCGTCCTCCTCCTTGTCCTCAGATTTCACTACCTCGGTAATTAATTGCCAACTAAGAATTTCATCGGAGAAGGTGAACTCCAGCTTCTCAATCTCTTCCTCTTTTACTGGGATCATATCCGCCACACCCGATGGATTTGAACCGTGACCATTCGGTGCCAAGGGGAGATGTGTTATAGGGTTGGACGCAAGCAGTCCTGTGTTCTGGTATTGAACCACCTCATATTTGAGTTGAATCGGAGTACCTGGTCTGTACACCAGTAAGGAGTCAACCAGCACTCTGTTTTCGCGCGTACGGCCCTCTTCATATGCTCCACTCTCGTATATTCGTCGCCGGATAGTGGAGTCATTTATGTGAAAGCGACAACTCTTCCCTTGCGCTTGTCTGGCTTGCGCTATCGACATAGTATTCCGTATCAATTCATTAATGACTTCCGCCCGAATGTTCCTCCGAAAGACCACTTGTCCAGAAGAATATGCCTCGTCATCCGAATGGAACAGTGCAGGACCATGGATCGGCAGCTTCACATGCTTCCCATTGGTAGTGCTAACGAACACTCCTAAAATCACTTCCAATGAACTATTCGGATGCCGTAGGGATGTTTCCACCAACCCCTCAATCGACTCCACGATACTCGACAACCGCTTCTCCGAACCCAGCAGTGAACATGGTACTATGTTCTGTAAGCATCGCCTCAATGCACTGTGACCATAAAACTTTTCCGCCATTATAAAAGTTAAGTTGCCCGAAAGCACCAGCCACCCAACCCTCCACGTAAGTTCAAACCCAGCCTCTCAATCTTAATGATTTCCCCTTTGGACATAATACAGCAACGGAGGTAATTTCGGGAACGCATTCCAAGGGCACAATGGGATAATATTCCAAAAACATAGTGGGAAAACACAGACCGGATACAGGGCACAGTGGGATACAGTATCAGGGTACCAGTTCCCGTGGAACGCAACTGAGATCTACTTCCTCTAGTTCGTAAACCGGGTACCTTAGGACAGCGGCAACATCTGACAGAGCCTGAATGCTGTGGGAAGCGATACCTCGGTAGGACACGATGATAATCTTTGCCTTGAGATGTTCCAGCTGCTGGGCAAGTTCTGAGAAGTATTTCCGTACTTTTAAATTGCTGCTTTTGAACAAGCGGTCTGATATGATAAGTGAGTCAATGGCTCCAAGGTTACCCGCTGTATACACTCCCGCTAGACCGTAGGTCACTCGGAGTGGGTCCTGATTTTTCATTTTATGAAAGTTCTGAATAGCCTGGAATTCGCACACGGCTCTGGTATCTGCGAGCTTTCGAGACACCTGCTCATTGCTCAGTAACCCTTCCAAGTCGGTGGCTTGACATCCAGACGATCCAGCACGGATGAAGAGTCCCTTGGTTATCCCCTTTCTTTGTTCCGCAAACAACCACTCGTAAAAGTCGTCATAGACCTCCGGCTTCCCCGCCAAAATGATACATCGGATTTTGGTAAGGTCAAAACTGGTATTCAATGCCGCCGCCAACATTTCATAATACTTCAACTTGGCCTTATCCGTCTTGCCGAAAGCAACGTTCCGCGTGTTCGCCTTCACTACCTTCCCCTGAACCCGACCACACGACTTGATTAAGGAACCACAAAGTAAATACAAATTCGCACCACCCAATTCCATCAACACAGCCCCCACCTCCGCCGACTTCTTAGGGTCTGTTGCCTCAATCAGCACTCTACGAGCGGAGTAATCCCAGTCTATCTTGGTCAAGCGAACCGTATCGTTCACGCCCAACTCTATAGTATGATATTGTCCTAACTGTCAGAAAACCAACGATTCACATCAGGGCATTGACAACAAGGGCATTGACAACAGGGGCAGTACCCGAGACGGAGTGGGTTGGGGGGTGTAACCTTACACTTATATCCTCACAGTCCGTTAAAACCTGTCCTGCAATCCTTATGGACGCGTCATCAGGAGCGTAGTCAACCTTCTACAAAGAAGGTTAGTTCCCAAGGTAGTAATCTAAGAGGGGATGAAAGACGTGCGAGGGTGGGGAGAATATTACCGTGACTTCTATCTCTAGATTGAACTTCTTCACTGTAACTCCGGTCACAACCCCATCGGAGTTCTCTTTCTTGATTTTGCGGGACGTCCTGGCATATACTTTGTCGTGAGGTTCCACCAAATTGTACAGGGCCCATAAGTCATTCGTATCTTCCGTTTCCTGCATTGACGCTCATTGGCCTTTCGGTATCGCGGGGGGGGGGGTTGCGATGCATTGAATTGCTTTGAATGGTGGTTCTAATCCTTACCAAACGAACCGTGCTTGTACCTCGCAACGCATAAGCACGACCACCCGATACTAACCTCATAGGAAAAAATGGCCCTATTTGTTCTGGCCCCCCAATTGTAGCTCCACGACTGCGTTTGAGAACTACAATAGCGCAGATGACCAAGAAATCACCATCATACCTTACCGAAGCCCTAGACTCTATAGGAAACCGATCGGGTCCATTGTCTTGCTTAGACTCGTCATTTATCATTATTAAGCTCCGGAACTGAAACCAGAAGTGTACATGGGACAGGTAATGGTGGGACAAGTAGTGAGTAATGATGGTGAGAAGAGTATAGTGTTGGGACGAGTTGGTTGGTACTGCTTCATATGTTAATCCTGTGCCTTGAGCAGTTGCTTGGCTCATGATTTGTTCCACCGGAATTTGCCCAAAGGTGTCGCCTAGGACATCCCGCAGGTCTTTGACCGTAATGAGGCCGGATCGGTCAGCGTCGAGTAAGTCGAAAGCTTCTCTCACCCAATGGTCGTCGGTTGTGAGCTTTGCATGAAGAGTGGCTGCCAAGAAGGACGTGTATTGGACCTCTTTGCTATCGTCTGGGTCTATTCTGTGGAATATAGTCTCGGCTTCTTCTGTAGATATTTTGAGTTTCGAGGTTACTGCTTGGACGAAGGCGGTCATGCTTATGGTACCGGATTGGTTGTCATCCAGTTTACGGAACTCTTGTTGTAGGTCCTTAACGTCGTGGGAGGTGAAGGAATAAGCCACCAGTTTGGCTGCCGCTCGCTTCAGGGTGTTGGCTTCCGCAAACTGTTTGATTGAGTGCAGGACATCTAGACTTATTTCGTTGTCGACTGTATGGGCGTCTTGAAGCCATGGATGTTGGAGCGCCTGCTTGGCGCTCGGTCGTTGCGTGGGGTCCTTAACCAACAAATGCTCAATGAAGCGTTTAGCGCTCGGTGAGATCGTGTTCCAGACTGGACTATTGAAGTCATACTGTGCATTCCGGATCTTCATCAAGATCTGATAGTCCACGTTCCCATTGAATGGAGGCGAGCCGCTAAGCAGCATATACACAATAACACCCAAACTCCAGATATCACACTTCTCTCTGTAGCAGCCGTCCATGACCTCGGGCGACACGTAATAGACGGTGCCATGCATAGCTGTCATAGGTACGACAGGTGAGAAAATGCGAGAAAATCCGAAGTCAATAAGCTTGAGCTCCGCGTCCTCACTCATGTTAGAGTACACCCAATTCTCCAGCTTCAAGTCCCGGTGGCATATCGAGTGACCATGGCAGTAGTTGATGGCCTCTAACATCTGCGTAGTCACCTTGATAGCGTCTGCCTCGCTATAACGCTTTTTAGCAGCCAGACGGTCGTACAGCTCGCCCCCCGTACACAACTCCATTACCACGAAAATGCGTTTGTCGTCCTCGAAAACCTCGATCAACTTCGCAATATTCGGATGGTCCAGCTTCAGATATATATTGACCTCATTGTGCAACATAGCCGCCTTCTTAGGCGAAATATTCTGGAGACTCAAAGTCTTGATGGCGTACCGTACCCCTGTCACGCGGTCCCTGGCGATCCTCACGATTCCTGACACGCCCGTACCCAGAATCTCGTCCGAGAGTTCGTACTTCTCGTAAACTTGTTCGGTGCTCCCAATGTGTACTCTGGCAGTCGCAATACTGCGACGCACATGGTACGCCGGAGGCTTCCCCTCCGTTTTGGCCGCTTCGTTGTCACAAGACAGCGGCGCTAAGTTCTTCTTGATGTCGGCCAACTCCGTCGCCGTCGCGCCTGTGGACTGCGGTGACCCTAACGCCCCCCCCTTCATCTCATTCTGTGCCACAGGCTTGCACGACGTGCAACCCATCCGGAATTTTAAATGCTGGCCTCCATACGTCAACTCGTCGAAGTTAGCCCCATCTTATCGCTTGCTCGCCCCCGTACCCCTATGCTGCTCTATCCCTCAGCAACGGCTCACCCCCCCCTCAGCAACTGCTCACTGAACATGCGGCCACCGACCTTTTGCCAAACTGGATGATGGGCACCAACCACGACTCACGACCCGTACAGGACCTGCTCAGGGCCTGGGGCGAAACACAGCACCTCCTGTTGGAAAAAGTAAGTACTATCCATGCCACATTTGTTGCGCGCAGCCCGTATCCTTGAATCCTGTGGACAGAATTCGATATATGATGAATGAAAGAATAGAGCACAAGCTGGTTCGGGTTATCCAGCTATATCAGCTGGTACGACTAAGAAAACTCTTACATGAACCCTCCGGAGTGCTAGCAATACAGGAAAGGAATCCCAACTCGGTTCTGCTGGAGGACGCCGAAAACACCACTGCGAACCAGTGGAAAACGTTCCTCAAAGATCACGACCTCATTGTTGCCGACAACTGCGGCTGGAACGAATTTGCCCACGTGTCTAGCTCTATACCTGGCCTTGACATCCAAACTTATCAGCGAATGGTGGATGACGAAGACGACCCTGTTGCTCAGCAGCTTATCGAGCAGGCCCAGGTGGTGGCTGCTGAGAACGACGGATGCTTGAATCCCGACAGCCTTAGTCAGTGCTATCTTCAGGATACTTTTCGTCAGGGATTTTACAAAGGCAGATTTCATGCTCGACTTTGAAGCGACCGTGACATATTCGTACTTAGTTGGGGTCAATCGCACAACGCACTAGCGCACGGACCTCGGCCTACCCGCGAGGGGGTATTTTTAAAAATGGAATAGGGTAAGACTCGTGGGTCCCTCCGGTCGCGGCATGTGTCCCTCCGGTCGCGGCATGTGATGAATAGTCTCAGTTGCGACCTTCTTGGCGGTGACCACTAATCTTGCCTGGTTCGGACCTGCAACGGCAGGGCCAGTCGGAGCAGTCGCCCGTGCGGGGGGGTTTGGGAAAACACATATTTTTTGCGGGATATGTTGGCAAAACTCTGGCTTGGCTTGACTGCGGTGGCCTTCGCCAAACCAGTAGCACCCATTGCCATTGTGATCCCCTGCAATGCAGAAGACTTCCATTTCCTACCTCTAGTACTAAACAGCATTGCGAATCAGACGGTGCTACCTCAGGAGACAATACTGGTTGGAAATCTACCAGAGTCGCACGCGGATGGGACCCTTTTGCTGGATACCGCATCGAAGGGACTTAATGTCCAAAACATTTGGGCTACTGCGGACTTGCAAGAAAAGGAAGAGGAGGTCTCGTTGTTCTCTTGGATAGTGGATCAGGTACGTGGGACACAGTCTATGTCTTTGGAGGAGACTGACCAGACTCTAGCTGCGAGTCACGAACCGCCCAAGTTCCATTTCTCGGCTGATGGGAACAAGAAGCACAGGTCCCCTCAAGACGCTCTGAGGTACATCACGAAGGTACTTCCGGATACAAAGGAGGCACTGTCCGTCATTCCGCGCGTTAAGGTCTACGTGCGAGGCGGCACTCACTATGCCGGCAGCAATCGAGTCTATGGCGCCGAGAAGTCGAGCAACGACATAGAAATAGTTTGCTTCTTCGATGCTGATGACTATATGCACCCGCAAAGAACAGAGTTCATATGGAGAGCATTCAATGACACCTCGGAAAATATAGAAGCATTAATACATGGCTTCAAGATGCTCAAGATCACCGAGTGGAACAAAGAGATGCCCAAGTTCGCGAAGACTCTAGAGTATCCAGACTCCTGGGCATACCCGTCCGAAAAGTACTGGAGTGTTTTGCCCGTCAATAAGCTGCACGAAGGGCAAACAGAACCCTCATACGGAGGAAGGCCTGGCTACGCTTGGTGGTTTTCCAAGGATTTGGGCCTGCACTTCCCACCTGGTTCGCCATCTGGACACAACGGTTGGCTTTCCATCAAAAAATCGGCTCTGGCTGAAGTGCCCTACCCTGACATAAGGCGAGGCCAGGACAGCCTGTATAACTGGCGACTGATCCGTGCCCACAAGCGCTGGAATTTTTTGCACGTTCCATTAGGGGCATATCTCACGTACAGATGAGTTAGAACTGTGCTAGAAATGCGTAACCGCCCTTCCCCTCTCAATACACAGCCATCCGTTTAAGGTACAACTATCTATCTATCTGTTGTGGCACTTCTGTTTGTTGCAGCCCTTTGGAGTAGTCCGGCTTTCGGTGAGTACAAGACTAGAGCTGCCGTGACAGAGCTGTAGCATTACATTGACGCTGCAATTCCCGCGACGTACCCGACCGTGCGCAGTTGCGGGCCTGCCTCGATTACCCGTTCAACTACCCGTTCAACAGACTAGCCAGGACCTCCTTTGTATCCTCTTGTTTCAAAAGGACATTTGAGGAGGAAGAAGTCTCCGGAAAGAAATCTTCGGACGCACAGGACCTGGAGAATAGAGCATTAAAGCTGGTTCGCTATGGCTTACAGGATATTGAAATCGGTCGTAGTTGGAACAGAAATAGGTTGCATCTTTTTCCCTTGGAGTGTGGCTCGAACTTCCTTTATGAATTTTTCCGCCGCCAGTTTGTCCTGAAGACCGGGTCCGAAGGTTTTCATGCGTTGTCGACCATTTGAGTCCCGCCAACGCGCTTTCCAAGATCCTTTACAGAGGGCGACCCCGCGAACTTGTGATCTTTCTTTGGTGCCATCTCCGCTGAATGAGCTCTCTGATTCCTCGCAGCTATCTTCGTCTTTGACGGCCCTGCAGCAACAATTTCTTCTTGGCCCACAGTCACTTTGCCTTACCTTTCTGAGTTGTCCCTCTCTAGACTTTTTTGATCCAGTAACCATTTTCTAGCCAGCTCAAGGGCTTCGGCGTGTTCATATTGGTCCAACGAAAACATCGCCCTTTCATTTTTGAACCTTGCTTGCCACCCGATCTTGGATGCAGATACTTTCCATGTTACTCCTTCAATGCCACTCTGCGGAATCCCCTTGTCGCTTACCAAGACCGTCTCCGGCAACTTGCTCAGTGCCCAGTCCGGAACATCTTTTCTGCGAAATCGCTTCCGCATTCGTTGAATGGCTGCGTCAGCCGTAGACTTCTCGTCGCCAGGTGACGCCGAAAATGGCACTGATAATGGAGTATGGTGCTTCGGCGGAGTGGAATGATGACGGCGCCTCTTCGCATGAGCGCACCGGTCTGCGTCGCCATCACCACTGCTTATCAGACATATCCTGCCACAAAAGTTCGGTTTTCGCTAGATGTAGTAGCTTACGTAATTTCCTGCGCGTCAAGTAATACCTTTACTGGGGCTTCCAGAGGCAGGCGGCAGTTCGTTGACCGCATTTCTATTTCCGATATCTGCAAGGCGTTAAATTCGACAATGAGCCACCTACATCCAGTTTGGCCAGCTCAGGAAAGCCATCAGCCATTATTGTCGGCCACAGATCGCCTACAGTTTGGTATGAATCTTTTACAACAAATATCCATACTCCCAAACGGGGATCTATTGTTTTATCGATATGATCAATCACGGAGCTATCCAGGTACACCCTTAATCTCAATAGATCGGACATTCACGCAATTTTTCGGATTATTGGCGGATCGAACGCGCTAATATTTTATTTAGCACACGTGTGCGGGGAGAATTAGAGAGCGCAACATGGAACAAAGAGCTCCGCTGCTGCGGCAACAGAAAGTTGGGCGTGAAGTCCCACCCCCATCATTCGAAAAAAGCATACTGATGATGCTGTGGCGAAACCAGATTGTCCGGAAGCGAAGAAAGCTCGAGCTGCTTCTGATGCTCTTTCAGATTTTTGTTTGGTTCGGTTGGGGGTCATTCCGCTTCCTTACGGCCCGTCCGGAATGGTTCCCTCCGGTGGCCCCCAAGCCATCGGCCCAAACAATTAACTTTTTCACACATCCATCCTTTCCGGTCAATCATCCCATTGGCTTGACAGTGGCAACCGTGCAGGACTACGAGCCGTTGGACCCGGGAACCCAAAGGGCTTCGCCGGCAAAATATTTTGCGAACCATCCAGATGTCGACTCGGAATTACTGGAAAGAGTCATGGTTCACTTCTTGGCTCACTGGGAACGAACGATAGGAAATCAGCCGATTAGACTGTATAAAAACAATGGTACGCTTGCGGAGCGAATGCGTTTGGACGAAAGGATTGCGTTCGGGATCGAATTCGGTCACCTCAAGAGGACTGATGGCAATGTCACAGTGTCGCTGACATTCAAGGACGACGAAGTGCCGCTGGAGCTGCATGTCGATGGAATGCGGGGCGCCTGTCGACAAACGTCGAAAAGATATGCCCCTGAGGAATTGGACAGGTTATATCCGGAATTCAGACAGTGTGAGGCGGGGAAATATCTGCGATCCCCCTTTGTTTTGGCGCAAACCGTGCTCATGCACAGCGTAATTGCGGCAAAGGCGGAATATGAGCTGGATCCACAGTTCCCGGTTACGTCAAAATTCAGACAGATTCTAATGAATAAGCTAGAACTGCCTGGCGTATCGCTAATTGCAGAAGACTTTCCGCTACACGTGGCGTTGCACACACAATATCCGCAATTAGCCGCGGCTACGCCATTGTTCATAATGTTTGCATTTTCCCGGTTTATCATATCATCCATTCATGACGTGGTGGCGGAGAAGGAATCCAAATTAAACGAGGTGATGAAAATATTTGGACTCGGCACGGCGGAGCACTGGGTTTCTTGGCTGCTGACTGCCTGCATCATGAACCTTCTCTACACTGGAATTACCATGATCTTGTGTAGATTGTGCAATATGTTTGGAGAGTCCAATTATCTTGTGATTGCAGTTCTCTTTTACTTCTACCTGCTGTCCTTGCTTACTTCCGGATTCCTCGTATCGGTGTTTTTCGATACCTTGCAAGGCGCTAGTGCTGCCGGAATGGTGTACCACGTGGTTTTGAACGGCGTTGGTCTGATGCTGAGCAGTCTGCGGGACACTCCACAGATTTACAAGAATTTGCTCTGCTTCTTCTCCCCAGTCACGTTCTCTTTGTGCATTGACGAGATTATTCGGGCATTGCCAATGAAACCGCTTACCTTGAGCAACTGGTTCGATTTCCGGAATAGCAATATCGGATTCTATACACTTGCGCTCATTGGCGGTTCTCTAGGATATTGGTTGCTGGCGTGGTACCTTGATACGGTTCTTGCCAGCTCATTTGGTATTGCTTTGCCGTGGTACTGGCCAATCACGGAACTGATGAAGTACATGACGGGAGCGCGCTATGGGCCGGACGCGCCGGTCTCGCATCCGGCTATGGACGCGTCAGACGATGCAATCGGTGATATTGCTGGCTTTTCAGAGCCGGTTCCTGCCCAAATTAAAGAAAAAGGAAGAGCTGTCCAGATTCGAGGTCTCGTCAAGGAATTTACTACTGCCGGTGAGGTCAAGAGGGCCGTCGACAATTTATCCCTGGATGTGTATCGATCTGAGATATTTGCGCTTCTCGGCCACAATGGCGCTGGCAAGACTACAACCATATCAATTCTTACTGGAATGTTGGTTGCTGACGGTGGTGACGCTTTGGTAAATGGATACAGCATTAGGACGGAGTCAAAGCAAGTACAGCAATCTATTTCGGTGTGTCCTCAACACAACATCTTTTTTGAGGAGTTGTTGTGCATAGAACACCTTTGCTTCTTCGCAGGTCTTCGGGGAATAGAAGTGAGAGAGCCGCTGCTTAAACTTCAGAATCCTTCGGTCTATGCTGAAGAGGTTATGGAACAAGTTCAGAAGATGCAAATGGAGCGCCAGATGCGCCAGGTAAGGGGTGAGGAGATTCATTACGAACATTCGGACACCAAAACATGGAACGGAGTATTGGACCTGATTGATCGTTTCGGCCTCATGTCGAAAATGTTTACGCACCCGCGAACGCTGTCCGGCGGTCAAAAGCGCCGTTTGTGGTTGGCCCTGGCGCTGCTTGCCGAACCAGCGGTCGTGTTCCTTGATGAACCGACTTCTGGGGTGGATCCCGTTGGAAGACAGGACATTTGGAAAGTGATCCAGGAAGAGAGGAAAACGGGTAGATGCATCATTCTAACCACGCATCACATGGAGGAGGCTGATATTCTCGCGGATAGGAAGGCTGTCATGGCGGCGGGAAAATTGAGGTGCTTGGGATCCTCCCTGTTCCTGAAAAGTAAATTTGGAATCGGATACTATCTGGAAGTACAGCTTGAACGTGATTTGGACCCAAGCCAAAGAGATGTCTCAGTCAGGCAGATTACAGACTTGATTAGAAGCCACGTTCCATCGGTCAAGCCAATTCTTACGAAGAAGGAGGCCGGCACTTGGGCATCTATATCTCTCGTGGCCGGGGTGCTGATTTTCGCGTTGCCCCTCGCGGAGCTGCCTAATTTCGGCCCACTTCTAATGGAGATGGAGGACCAGAAATCCACGTTATCTATAAGGGACTATGCCGTTTCTATGTCCACTTTGGAAGAAGTGTTCTTTAGACTGGGAGAGGAAAATCAAGACACAGATGAACCGCTTGAAGAGACAGAAGAACTCGGTGTCCACGGGCGTCGTCGGTCATCCGCTGCCTTACCTTTACCAAGCGAAAATGAGGCCGCAGAAGAAGACATTCACTTGGGAATGAATGATAGCGACGAAGTGTAAGATCCCATATTTTATCTATGTTTATTTGTCTTTCAGGGCTGCCAATCTGGCTAATCAACGGTTCCAGAGACCGCAAGGCAGTTCGCTAATCGACCAACTGATTGGCGTTACGTATCTGAGGTACGCCCAAGTGTTCCACAACTTGCGGGCATTCTGCCTCGATGTGCTACTGCCTACTGGATGCTTCTTGCTTGGTCTCTTCTTACGCCGGGGTGACGGCCCCCATTCAATGGATTTGGGATTTGACGTGAAGGTTCAAAGGTATTTCATGAACAGTCCTGAATTGATCAACCAGACCATTCCGTACTATGTGGACAGCGAACTGTCCAATTTGGGGCGGCAGAAGGTCTTCAAACTCATCGATCAATTGCCTTTCAAGCACCAATTGATGCCTCTACACCCGTGCATGGCTCCAGAGAACCTAGTCGAAATCTCTGGAAAGCAATGCCAAGCTGCCTTGTTGGAAGCAAGCAAGCTGTCTGCGGAGCGCTCGCTGGACGTGGACTTCGAAGTCACGCCCACAACGAATAAGGAATATCTTCTAAGAAGGCCGACCAAACTGAAGCGGTTCGGCCCCGACGCTCCAGTTATTGAAGAGGACTACCCGTACGCCTTCAATATCGCCCCCGAACTGCGGAGTGGTAAGGTGCGATCTGAGGGAAATATCCTTAGGAACTTTGTGTGGCGAAGCACACAAGCTGACATGTTCGGTGTGTGGGATAATTTCTATCCCGCTGCTATTCAATTTGAACCGAATCCTCACGCTTTGAATGATGACACTCCATTCGACGCGGTATCTACAGATCCAGATGATGTTCTAATTCGGTATATGTGGAACCCATATGCTCCACATTCATTCCCAGCTTTCCTCAATGGTTTGGGTACCTCTGTGGCCAATAACGCACTTCCATCCAAAAACGGACAACACGAATTCGAATTCCGATCGACGCCCACATACAGGGACATACCGGTATATATAACCACACTGACGTGGGCTTTGCACTCGCTCTTATCACTGGGTATGTCCTTCTTGCCATCCCGGTTCGGCCATCAAGTCATGTACGACAACTACATGAAGACCAAGCACTCGCTTATCGTCATGGGATGTCCGTTTGTTGTGTACTGGATCGGGACATTCATCATTAACTGGCTGGTGATGGTGCTGACTAATACGAGCATAACGTTTGTGGTAGGGTCATTCATACCACTATTCGCACGCCATCCGTGGAGCCTATGGATGCTTCAAGCATGTTTGCTTGGACACGCCGCCGCAATGCTGGTGTACGGATACTTCTTCACCTTCGTCATGACCAGTTCCAGGAGCTATAGCGTGTTCATGCAGCTCAGCACCATGCTCCTTTCCCTTGGACCGGCTTATATTGTCTCCACGTTCTATGACTATAAGCTCTACGTCTGGGGCATCCCGCTACGTTATCTTTCTGGCATTATCCACAAGATCTGCGTGTTCACTCTTGCCCCTTACATTCCGCTTGGCTCCATGATGACTATTATCATGATTATGAACCAAGCTGAGCAAGAGCGCCGAACTGCCCGTTTGGATGAATTCCTGTCGCTGAACAACCAGGTTGTTTGGTGCGTCCTTGGTGCTATCTTCCAGACAGTCGTTTACGGAGCTCTCATCATCTATCTTGACGCGAGGGAGTACACGGCAAAGAAACCAAATCGGCATGCGGTTAAGGCTTTGAAACAATGGAAGGAGGTGAGGACCAATGTCCGACAGCAGGTTTTGAGCCAGCCTGGTGCTAGTGAGGCTATGGTTCCTGCTCAATTCCAGATCACCAAGGACCAAGATGTGCTTCAAGCAGAAGCCGAGGTGGATGACATTATGACCGTTTACAACGCCCAAATGCAGGCGGAAACGACCAACGCTCCCATTCCCCGCTACTTCCCTAATCTCAGATTGGGGAAACAGCCCAAGGACCTGCCCGCGATATTGATCCACAATCTTCACCATCTGTATCTGCCCACTTCCTCGGCGGGCGACGTGACTGTGGCCCAAAAGGGAACAAGTTTCTGGGTTAAGAGTGGAGAGGTGATGGGATTGCTCGGTCCGAACGGTGCAGGAAAGTCAACTACTATCAACCTACTGACATGTGATCCCCACATTGATGCCCCGACTGAAGGTGACGGATATCTGGGTGGTATCTCGGTTAGCACCACCCCACAAGACGCTTACGCACACATCGGACTCGTGCCCCAGTTTGACGCGCTTTGGCCAGATGTGACTGTCAGTGATAACCTGTACACGTTTGCCAAAGTCAAGGGCCTGTCCCGCGAAGAAAGGGTGAAAGTGACTGGCGATTTGCTGAAAAAACTGGATCTGATACCTCACCAACACAAGAGAATTCACGAGCTTTCAGGAGGTAACAAGAGACGAGCCTCTATCGCCGTGGCATTCTTGGGTAACCCAAGAGTGGTGCTCATGGACGAGCCGTCATCCGGTATCGACCCGGCAGGAAGAAGAAAATTGTTGGAGATGCTAATGGCCGAGCGTCAACAGCGTGCGATCATCATCACTACTCACTCCATGGAGGAGGCTGAGAGTCTGTGTACCAAGGTCGGAATTGTGGTGAATGGACAGCTACAGTGTCTGAACACATGCCTGTCGATCAAGAATGCTTACGGCACGGGATTGAGACTGGAATTGGAGCTTGCCGCGGACTGGAGAGGCACTGGTAGGCTTCGTCAAAGCGACCGTGATGCCGTAGTTGCATGGGTGAAGAACAAGCTGCATCCTGACAGCGTACTGACGGAAGAGGTGGCATCTCGCCTTTACTTCACGATCCCGGTGGATTCGAGCAAGCTTGGTGAGATTTTCACAGCCCTTTCAACTGAGAGCGAGCAAGTCGGAATTAAGGAGTACGCCGTGGCGCAACCCACAATGGATCAAGTGTTTGCGATCTTCGCGAAACGCCAACAGAATTTGCAGGAGCCTTAAGTTTGATGGGCTTGTCCTTTTTGGCTTGTGAACTAGCATGGTTTTCCTTGCTATTGTGGGGTTCAGTAGATGTAATAAAAATTGTAGACCAAGGTCCACGTCAGGATAAAGGACTGAAAGAAGCGAACCGCTTGTGAATCATAACACTGGCGTGGTGGGAACAGTGTGCGCTACCATGAAGCCGGTAATAGGGCCGGATCTGTAGAGTGTTAGGATGCTTGGGAAGAAGTCAGACAGTGCTCCTTGGGTTTTGACCATGATCGTTAAGGCGTACATGGTGGGCACAACTAACACAGACATAACTAGAAAGACGAGGGCGCCTAAACAAACGGGCAAACATATGGTGAGTTCTTGGTCTCCTTACCATGTATAAACGAGGAGATTCCTGCCCGACCGACAAGTACCGCTAAAGCGATTGCAACTGCATGCCTACTGGATGCAGGGAATAGGCCAACCTACCAGTTTTCATTACACTGTGCTGATTTGCCTTAGATTTGACACTAAGCTGGCACGGCCATAGGGGGTGTCCTGAACTTCAAGTTTGCCCGATGCGAACATTAAAATTTGAGAGTGGTCTTCCCATCAAACCCCGCGTTCTTATTGACCCCAGCCTGGTGACATTGCTCTTCGCATTTTCTGTAGTTATTAATACCTACTTCCAGTAAGTCCCTGACCCTATTGTCCCGAACCCCATTTTACTTCATTGAAGGGCTAATCTAGCTAGTTACTTAGTTGTAAAAACCAATGTTACATCTTTGGCTCTTCTCTTTTAGCTGTTGGTCAATTTGCCCAATCCTGCCGCCTACGTCGGCAGTGACTCCGACGTTGCCGGAAACAAGGTCTAGGTATTTCAGGAGCTCGTCCTTCTTCCAAATGCCTCCTCTTTCAGCTAGGTTGGAGGCGTAGTAGACGGGAGCGGGCATGCTGACAGCTCTTTGTGCGCGTTGGAAGAGGTGTGCTTCCTGGTAGATGAAGTGCGCGTAGAACATCAAGCGTTCATTGGCGCTCATTTGCTGCAATTGCGCGTCGAAGTCCTTGAGTGTGTCGCAGTAGACCATGTAGCGAGCAGGGTGCGAAGTGCCCTTGATGCCAGCCTGGGAGAGTAGGTAGAAGTTGGGGACTGAAGAGGGGATGGAAAGGTTGTCGAAAACGACTGTGCCAGGAGGCATGTTGGTAGCGTCATTAGCACAGTTCGGAACGAAGAACCGCGTCTGATGAGCGCGCCGAACCGCTATGCAGAGGACCACTGGAGGAGTGATCGACTTCTCATTGTAGGCGGAAGCGATTGCGCGAATTTCCTGTTGAATTGTCTCATTTAGCATTCCGTCACTGACTCCATCTCTGAAGAAAATAATGCGTTTTGGCCACCGACCTGTGCCGTCTAGTCTTGCTCGCTCATCCAAAACATCCTTGGCCATTTCGGTAAGTCTGCCACACACATCAAAGTTGCCTGCCGAGTTTTCGCACCGTACAGTATGCACGTATGACACGCCGTCTCGGTCAACAGAGCAAACCAGAGCAGAAATAACGGGTATTAGACTTTTTCCATCCTTCAGCCTCGGCGCTTGTGCACGAAGGTTGGAGAAGGCAAGAGCCATGATGGCCGTGTCTCCCTTGTTGCCTAGCATCTGTTGCACAGCCCGAACCTCCACGGCGGCATGGTTGATCTTGTGGCAAATGCCACCGAGTTTTTGGTTCACCTTGCTCAAGATGTTAGCAATGTGTCCTTCCATGCCACGGTCTCTTCTGTTGATGATGGGAGTCTTCATCGCTGTCAGAACTTGCGTTGTAATCATTCCGTCAAAACAACTCTTGACGTCCCCATACAAACCAGTGTGTTTCTCGCGAATAAACACGAATAAAATATCCAGGTGGTTCTGCTTGAGAAGTTTGCCAAGCTTCTCGGCTCTGGCCTGGAGGTCAGATAGTCCATTGCAAACCCACTTGAATTCGGGGGCTTGGGCCAATCGCATGTTGTACTTGGTCGATTCTCTGCTGACGGTGCCAAAGAAATCCTGGACGAGATTGTCGTCGATTCTGCAGCTATAAATGATTACGCCGTAGTGCTGCACGTTTCTCGGCTCAATGAAGGCGCTCTGGGACATGTTCCACTTCCCTTGACCCACCTGAATGCCCATGGTCTGTCCCTTCTTGCCGCGCACCCCATACAACAAGTTCGGAGGTCTAATGACATGTGCGGAAACGAGCATTTCTTTCTTGCTTAGTTCAATCCCAAATCGCTTGAGCACTGGGTTCTCAACGAAGTGTCGGGATACAACATTGTTGATGTACCTAATTCTTTCTCCCGGCGGCATGGTCATGATCTCGCCAATTCTCGCCTTCACCGCCTCGTTCACCATTCTGTTCACCGATTGTTGGCACACTTCCAACACCTCCACCGGGTAGTAAACCTTCTTGCCCCCTACCTTCTCCATCAGGGGAGCGTTAGGGTATCGTAATTTTATCTTGTAGGTGTCGGCAAAGTATTTTGTGACGTTGGTCAACTTTCCGTCTTTCCCTTCGAACTCATACGTATTGGCAGTTAAATCACTAAGACCCTTCACCTTGAACGGTCTGTAATTCAAGTGAGTTGCGTTAAGCTTCAAGCCCTTGAGGCACTCCCGGATCTCCGCTTTCTTCCGGTCATTGATAGTTGCGGAAGCCGTCACGCGAATGCCCGTAGAAACCAGAATGTACTCCTCGAGGGACTGCTGCTCAAGGCCCATGGTCGAAGCGGCGTTCACACAAAGCGTGATTTGATGCGTCCGCTCCTCAGGCACTTTCGTCTGGCCATTCTGAATCACCGAGAGGGTCTGGCAGTGCCCCTTCCATAACTTCATTGCGCCTAGACTAAGTTGTTGACGACTGTCTTGTAAGTCGATGAAGGCATCCGGGTCGTCCTTCGGCAAAAAGACCCGCTTATTCTTTGTGTAGTTGCCCGCACCAGCTGCCTTCTTCATAAGGATGTCAAAGAGCTGCTCCTCCTCACGAACAACGTCCATGCCGCCTCCGGCAGCATACTTGGTAAAAGCGCGGCACAGGTTCAAAGGGTCTCCTTGGGGCCTAATCGACAGCGTCCATTCGACCTTGGAATGCAAGACCTGCACTTCCAAACGGATGGGCTCCTTGTCAGCAGGATAATAAAGGATTCGGTCATCGTCGTAAAGAACAGAGTCGACATCGATATGGTTCTTGTCAAGAGCCCTTTCTACAATGGCCACTCTGGCATCGGCTTCCATTGTGTACTGCAGTTCCGAGAGCGGCTGCAACTCGACCAAATGTTTTTGGAAGAGGATCTCGCTCTTGGGTGGCAAAATCTCGTAGTGGTTAGTAGCCGTTTGGGTGGCACCATACACCTCGTGAACGGGGGCAGGACCGCGACGGTCGCCGCTGCCGCCTCCACCTCTGCGAAACCCGCCAGCTCCGCCTCCACGGCTATCAGAATAGCGGCCTCCAGCTCCGCCTCCACGGCTATCGGAATAGCGACCTCCGCCTCCGCCTCCGCGGCTATCGGAATAGCGACCTCCAGCTCCGCCTCCACGGCTGTCAGAGTAGCGACCTCCGCCACGACCCCCACCATAACCTCTGCCGCCATCGTCACCACCATACTGGTTACCGTACCCTCTGCTACGGCCGCTCATTGCCGATTTATTAAAAAGCGAATAGAGAGCCAAGAATATCGATTGGTCCTGTCTCCGTGAAAATGGTTGTTTGCGTCGAGTGCGGACGAGACGTTCTGCGACTGTTCAGGGACTACGGAAACCAAGCTATTAGGTTAAAAAGATGTGAACACTGCGGAGCTATTGCTGACAAATACATTGAGCTTGATCAGGTGCGAGCTTCCCATTTACCCCCCCTCCCCT